GTCATTTAATTTCGAGCTCAGAGACTCATTGCAATTTAATTTTTCGGCTAAGAGGCCAAGCAATTTAAATTCATGTCATTCATTTTCGAGCTCAGAGGCTCAATATAATTTAGTTTTTTTTGGCTCAGAGGCCTTGCAATTTAAATTCTGTCATTTAATTTAGAGTTCAGAGGCTCATTGCAATTTAGTTTTTCAGGCTCAGAGGCCAGACTTTTTAAATTCTTGTCATTTAATTCCAAGCTCCTAGGCTCATTGCAATTTATGTTTCGGATCAGAGGCCTTGCAATTTAAATTCTGTCATTTAATTTAGAGCTCAGAGGCTCATTGCAATTTAGTTTTTCAGGCTCAAAGGCCAGACTTTTTAAATTCTTGTCATTTAATTCCAAGATCCTAGGCTCATTGCAATTTATGTTTAGGCTCAGAGGCCATGCAATTTAAATTCATTTCGAGCTCAGGGGCTCATTGCAATTTAATTTTTTCGGCTCAAAGGCCATGCAATTTAAATTCATTTCGAGCTCAAAGGCTCATTGCAATTTAATTTTTTTGGCTCAGAGGCCATGCAATTTAAATTCATGTCATTTAATTTCGAGCTCAGAGGCTCATTGCAATTTAATTTTTCGGCTAAGAGGCCAAGCAATTTAAATTCATGTCATTCATTTTCGAGCTCAGAGGCTCAATATAATTTAGTTTTTTTGGCTCAGAGGCCTTGCAATTTAAATTCTGTCGTTTAATTTAGAGCTCAGAGGCTCATTGCAATTTAGTTTTTCAGGCTCAGAGGCCAGACTTTTTAAATTCTTGTCATTTAAATCCAAGCTCCTAGGCTCATTGCAATTTATGTTTCGGCTCAGAGGCCATGCAATTTAAATTCATTTCGAGCTCAGAGGCTCATTGCAATTTAATTTTTTTGGCTCAAAGGCCATACTATTTAAATTCATTTCAAGCTCAAAGGCTCATTGCAATTTAATTTTTTCGGCTCAGAGGCCATGCAATTTAAATTCATGTCATTTAATTTTGAGCTCAGAGGTTCATTGCAATTTAATTTTTCGGCTAAGAGGCCAAGCAATTTAAATTCATGTCATTCATTTTCGAGCTCAGAGGCTCAATATAATTTAGTTTTTTTGGCTCAGAGGCCTTGCAATTTAAATTCTTGTCATTTAATTTCGAGCTCAGAGGCTCAATGCATTTTAATTTTTCCGGCTCAGACGCCATGCATTTTAATTTCGAGCTCAGAGGCTCAATGTAATTTAAATTTCGCGGTTCAGAGATTGTACACTTTAAATTCAAGCTATTTAATTTCGAGCTTAGAGGCTCATTACAATTTAATTTTTAGGCTTAGAGGCCTTGCATTGGATATTCATATCTTTTATTTCGAGCTCAGAGGCTCACTGTATTTAATTTTTAGGTTGCATCTTATCCATATGTATTTCTACTCACTTGGACAAAATTAGGATTCATGTCTTTACTTGTTCCTTACAATGATAATATGTCAACTGCAATTTGTCATATTATATAGTAAGAAACAAATAAAGAGGGGCAACTGTGAACACCTAATTTTGTCCTAAATAAAAATTTATTATTAAATTGTGAGCACCATTTTCTCAACAAAAAAAAAAAAACTCTTTTCTTTTTTATCAGATTTAAGTATCTTCAGAAATCATATTAGTTAGTTTTCTTCCCTTTTCTTTATCTTACGCCAAGTATCCCCAATTTGTGTACGACCTCATGAAACGCTCCCATCATGGTCGAAGATGTCTCATCCTCAGAGCTCTCTGCAAACTCTCTTACCCACGCACGGCACCGCCCCTGCAAATCGGCGAAGGACAGAGCATGAAAGTAGAAATCACCAGGAACCAAGACCTAGAAGCAATGCCTAAAAAGGAAATCGGAGGAGACTGGTGAAGGATCCGAGTCTGAGTATCTGCAATTCATCGAAGGACCCTAGGTTTTCTTTAATCCATTGGACTCATTGAGGAGGGGTTTCTTCTGGTTTCTTCTATAAAAGCAAACGACAAAGGATTGAGAAGGGAGGTTTTTTTTATAAGGGAAGGGAAATTTTAGCAAGTCTGGTATTACTACTACATGTGACTTAGTGTTAGAGGGTTACCTGGGATCCAAAGGGGATAAAAAAAACATTCTACACAGAAACTAAAAAAGATTTGAGATAGGGGTGTTTCTTCTTAATTTTAAGAGAGGTCTGTTTTTGAAATTTAAGGAAAAATTGCTTGAGGGCATTCTGATCGGCGCTCAAGAAGGGGAAGAAAAGTTGATCGAGAGACAGAAGGACCACAAGGCACATATTGCAAAGGGTCAAAAGTTGATTCTGGTCAAAGAGGTGGTTAGCACTTCTCATTTCATAGTTGAGAAAACAGCCTGTGACTAACACATTTTTTTTCTCTCTTTCTTAATCACGTTTTTCTTTTCACAGCTATTATGTCTAATGTGAGTTAACAAATAAAAATATGGTGTATGTAGTTGCTAATCCTTCTGATGATTTGAGTTAGTCTTGTTAGATGTTCCCCAAGTTTATATGTGTCTGTTTTGTTCTAAGAAGTAAAAGGAAAAAGTTGGAGGCTGAATTGGCTTTGGTGTAAAAGAATTTCTGTTGGTCTTGTCTATATGTAGTTGTTCGCTCTACGTTTTCGTTTTGTCTATGTCAAGGACTTCTAAAAAAAAATCTTTGGTCTGTTTACTGATATGCAAGAACACAGCCACTTGATATTCTTAAATTCGTTAGCACTAGAATTCTTAGATTGCAGGTTTATCGATGAATGAATTAGATTTGTTTTATTTTCTATTTTTTTATCACTTATTTAATGTAAATAGTAACTTTAAGCTTTGGGCTCAAACTGCATTTTTGTTTTTTTTTCTTTTGATCTAATTCAGCCCATGAAACTATTTTACTGCACCTCATTTTAACATATTTTAGCTAAACCCATCCCTTATCTAGCATATGGTGTAGTTCGTGGACATATTTTAAGTTATCATTTTAAATAATAATAATAATAGGAAGAAGAAGAAGAAGGAAAGATGAGCGATGTTTCTTGTGCTTTTTTTAGTCTACATTTTTATATATTTTTTTTTCTATTTTATTTTTATTTTCACTCTTTTTGATATCATTAATCCCTTTATTTTTTAGAATCATTTTGATTGCGACAATACGGTGATTTTAGACTGTCTAGCAGTAATCAATGAACAAATAAACAATTGTAATTTTTGTTTAAAATTATTGATCTTAGATTAATTTAGAAGATAAAGAATAAAGAAGATTAATTTATCATTAAATAAAATGGGAGTCAACTGAGTCGTGACGACTTGTTAACCCGACGTTTTTTGTGTTTTGGGTCACTTTGGTTGGGACAACTTGGTGATCCATGACTCATAATAAAATTATAATTCTAAAATTACGGATTAGCTGAGTTGAGACAGCTTGTTAATCCTACGTCTTGCTCGGATCATTTTGGTTGGGACAACCTGGTAATCCGGGAACGTCGAATATAATTAAATGATTTTTTTTCAAAATTAAAATGAATCAACACACAAATATTTTATTAAGAATGACGTAGCTTTGAATTCTTCACTACACTGGAGGATACGTCGGAGCGGAACTTTTTCCGTCAAGCTAAAATAAAATTTTAATATTTTAGTCTTCTTTTTTCTTAATTAAATAATCATATTTATTTTAAGGGATGAAGCAAATATTTTTAAAGGTTATTAATAATTTGCACAATTAATTTAAGGTAACCGTTTTAAAAACGGATGTGTCAGGGGTGCAGTGGGATTAAGTTTCCACCCTTCCTTGCACATAATTAGACTCCTGAACCTTGATTTTTATAGATCAGTTTGCAATAAAAGGTTTTTCCAATTTTTCCAAAGTAAATAAAATTGGTGGCGATTCCATTGTTTTTAATTTTTTAATTTCGGGTCGTTACAAGGTTGCATTTTTTTTCTTCTATTTTCATTTTTTTCACTTTTAGTATTTTCTTTCAATGTTGTTAGTTTCCAATATATTTGATCTTATATTTTCTTTTCTTTTTTTTATTTGTTCTCACTTCTTTTTTCTTGTAATAAGGGTAAAATAGATAGATTATTTAAATCTCTAATGGCGTTAACTGTTAAGGAAGGACTAGATAGAAAAAATCATAGAAGATTAAGTGATTAAAAAAGTATTGGGGTAAGTGATTCAAAAGAAAACCATAGAAGGTTTTTGAACTTTTCCTTTCTTAAAATTGTCAAATATATATATATATATATTTTTTATAACATATATTTTTAATTTATAAAGAGTAATTCAATCTCAACCTCATTTATTTCTTCTTCTTTTTTTTGGTAAACCTCATTTATTTCTTTAAAACTACTATCTGTCACATAGTTAACTATTTAAACTAATAAATTCATGGGATTTTGCCCGTTTAATTTATGATTCTATTTTTAAAACATTACCCACGCTCATTACAAAGAAGAGAAATGTTGATAATATATTTTTTTACACTCTTTTTTAACATTTTATTATTATTGAATAAAATTTCATCTTCACTATTAAAGAGTAAACTCATGTTATCTATTGGAGCTATATAAATTTTATCCAATGTAAAAAAGTATATTATTATTATTATTATTTCCTCTCGTGGAAAATCATCACATCACAACACGGATAATTATATACATACACATACATATCTATACCCTTGGAATAGATAAGAGAACGTAAGGGATCCAACAAGTTACTATCGGAACCTTGTTTACCATACACTTCAACTGTGGCAACTGAATATATCAATGAGTCCAAAGTCCAAACCTTAAAAAATTTTAAAATTATTCCAAACTCGATATCTCCGATAAGAAGAAAAAATAGTTGGATCGAGTTTCGTTCTGGTGGACCGAGTGGTGTTGGGCTGATCATTTAAATAGCAATGTATCGATTGGGCCCGAGGCGGAGCCCATTAATATTCCCTCTTTTATTGTTTGTGAGTTTTGATTTCCCTCCATTCGAAGCGAAAGCGATGGAAGGTGTGGACGGTAGCAGCGAATTGGAAATCGACTCGGAAACGAAGCTTTTGAGAGATAGATTCAGGCTCTCCGCAATCTCTATCGCCGAATCTGAAGGTTCAATTCTTCTTCTCACTCACTCACTCACCTTTGGTGATTTCACTTTTTTATTCGATAAAATCATAGGAAATTTAAGTTCCTAATTCTCGTGCTCGCTTATGCATTTGCGCAGCAAACAAAAACGGCGTGCAAGTTTCAAAAGTCGTAGTCGCTTGCGTTGCTGATTTGGCCTTCAAGTATACGGGTAAATATCACTTTCATTTTACTGCATAATCCTTTTTTTCCTGTACCTTAGGTTTGAGATCAATCACAGCAAATGGAGACGCCGCATATTAATATCAGTACGGTGTATGTATCTTGTTTCCGCAATTCTTGAATGCTTAAGTGTTCATATACATAATTAGGTAATTATTTGATATTGAGCATGGATATAAGCAGCAAACATATTTAGATTTATCTTAGATTCATACAGTTGGAGGTGATCAATAGTTCAATACAGAAAATGTTATGAAAGGCTACTATGGAGTATGGAATTATGTGCTTTGTGTTTAATAATTGTTGATTTTTAGGTTATCTATATTGTTTATAGCAGGTATATGCTTCCCTTTAAGAGAGAAAATATTGAGTTCACTTGTAGATATGTATTAGCCTAATGGTCCTGGTAATGGTAAATCCATTTACTTAAATGCCGATCACAGATATTGGCTTTAATTTACTTGCATTGTTGAGCGGTTTGGGATTCATAATATGAATTTCTATTTGCTTGAAAAGTCATCTTTAGACTTGTTGTTATGGGTAGGTCTTACCTTGCATTTGAATTGAGGTGCCAAGGTTCCACTTCTAGTCAAGGATACGTATTGTTGAATATTTCTGACTTAATAATTGGCCGGCAATGCTCATTAATTGATATAATGAAATTCAACCGTTTTTGTGAGCAGAGAAGCTGGCTAAGGATCTTCAGCTATTTGCACAGCATGCAAATCGTAAATCTGTTAATGTGGATGATGTCATACTTTCTGGTCAGTTTTTTTTTTTTTTTTGAATTCATTGGTACAAATTGAATATATAACCTACTACAATCTACCTAAATCCCTCACCACTAGACCAATCCTAGTGGCCGATGAGTTTCTTCATCTTTGCCTGCTTTTCAGGGAGGGTGTGAATTTACGTATCTTTTGGTATATGCTCCATTCTTTAATCTTCTGTCTTTTGGTTTCAGCACATCGAAATGAAAATCTATCTGGCTTCTTGAGGACCTTCTCCAATGATTTAAAAGCAAAAGATCCTCAATCTGAGAAGAAGCGAAAAAAAAGAATGACAATACAACCATGAAGGGCATATGCCTGATACACGTTTATGGTCCTATGAACATATCTTGGTATGATTGGAAATTTTTGCCACCAAATTTTAGATTTTTTTTCTGTTGTAGTTTAAGGAGCTACTTTTCTTCTTCCCTGCCCTCTCCCCTCTCTTTTCCTTTTCCCTTTTTTCATGTTCTTGGACTTATTAGCTAGTACCGGAAGCTATTACTCCATCTTTATCATTTATGTAGGAATAGGATGCCCTAGAACTTAATACCATCCACTACTTTAAGGTGTAGCCTCTGCCAGGCAAGGTAGTGTGCGGGCTCAAGATATAATTGTATATAAATATTCGAATTCAAACTGAACTTATTGTAATGCCTAAAATTTTTGTGCCTGTCAATCTTAATTTTCATGGACCGTGGATGGCGCTGACAAGCATATATTTAGTTAGTAGTATTATATTATGGCAACAATTTTAGGATATAATCTAAAGTGAGGAGTGCGCACAAAAGTTATCTTTCGAGGACAAGATGCAAGCAGCGAGACAAGATAGCTAAGTGACATTCTTACACAAAACATGACTTGCCGAGTTAGTATATTACATATTTGTAGTTTGTTATAAATCATAAAATTTATAAGATTACAGGGATAAGTTATTCTTCTATCATTTTTTCTGTCTATCTTTGTTTATCACTCTAAAATATCATTAGATCAGAATCTTAACTAACATTTATTTATTTTTCTTTTGTTGAGATTTTAATCTAATTGTATTGGAGAGTGATAGATAAAATAGGCAGAGAAAATGATAGGTAAAATAACCTATCCTAAGATTATATTATATATATACACATCAGTGATTGAGTTTCATTTCATTAAATAAGATTAATTGTATGAGGAATCATCTTCTCGTTTTATGTGAGAAAATGATTTTCTCCCAAAGACTCAGAATACAAGTGGGCTCATAGGATAGTGGAGATATAAAAAAATTTAAGGTGGAGCCCATCTTAAATTGTACTTGCGGAAACAAGAGATTTTTTCCTGTAAAATAAGAAAATAATTCCCCTAATTGTATAGAAAAATTGATGGGCAAAATGACTCATGTGATGCATTTTTTAAACATTTTATTCAAATAAGTGTTTAAAGTTTCTAAAATTATTTTTAGATAATTTTATTTAATGTTCACTAAAATACACAAAAAAATATATGAGGTCTATGTGGACACATGTGAAAAAAAGAGAAAAAAAAAATTCATACATTTATATATATATATATATATATATATATATATATATTAAATAAAATTAATTTAAATAACTTTTAGAAACTTTATATCCTTTCAATAATGCAATTTAGAAACTTATCGAAGTAATGGAATGAGTTCCGCATGCGGAAGTACAAGACTTGCAGCATTCAACCCCCGTCAAATGTTCACAATTTTAGGGGTTTATTTTGAACAAGTATTAACCACGATTAAATGGTGACAAATAAATCATAGCTAAGTTGTTTCTCTGATTTGTTAGTGTTTGATGTGTGGCTCAATTCAACAAGTCTCGCACCTATCTCATGCGAAACTCATATTTTAATAATAAGTTTGTAAATTGCATTATTCCAATAACTTTTTTGATAAAAAATGCATTACGTTAGTCATTTTGCCTAAATTGATGCAAATAAACTCTAAAAAAAAATAAAAAAAATCTTTTGTATTCGTAAAGCATTGTTTGTGTACTAAACTAAGCCACTTTAAGTTAATTTTTATCTCCTTTTCAATAGTCGTTACTTTAATTAACTTCCCTTTTTAGTAAATTGTTTTTTTTTTATATATCCAATCCAGTTTATATGTTACTTTATCTTTAGTCTTGGATATACTTCTTAAATTTGTTCCTAGTTTTTGATATTTTGAACTGTATCTTTATTTGAATTTGATTTTGTTATATTTATAGTGAACTTTTTGACTGTGTCATTTAATTTTGTGTTGATATCTTATTTAATGATTTTGATAACGTTATTAGATTAGAGGAGATTTTAAACTGTTTAATGAGATGATGGTAAGAATTCCAGAGTATATATGATTCCAAATTCAAATCTAAAAATATTATCAATTTGTGTTCAATATGAATTCTTGATTTTAGAACGTTTCAAATAAAAAATTAATTTGATCAAATGTTATTAGATAACTAATTTACATTATGATCAAATTATATTTTATTACGTTATTTAACTTTTGGTTGTGTATACTAAACTGGCAACTTTTTACTAAATTGATACTTTTTAATTACGAATATAATTAGAAATGGAAAATAATCCACAAAATACAAATTTTAAGAACATTATGACCGCATCAAAGAATTTTTTTATGAACATTATAGATGTACATTAGACACACACAAAAATTGTGTTTTTTCATTTTTGTCAAATTACTATACCAGTTTATTATAAAATGTTAATTTTGAATTTAAAAATTCAAAGTAATTAATAGACATATATTAAAAGAAATGAAAAAATAAAAATAATTTGAATTAATATTTGTTTAAAGAAAAATGTCTCTTATATCAAATGAAATAAAAAATTATGACTGGAATTTTTAACTAAAATTTTTTATTTGAAATTATTATTCATGACTATAAAGCAGATGATTAATTCATGTTTATATAAAATAAGAGAAATAACTATAATTTGTATTTAAAATAATTTATTTAAATATTAAAAACTGAGAATAATTTATTTATTTTTATTAAAATTTTAAAAAAAAATCACCCCTTAAATTCAATCAAAATGTTCATGAGTAAATTTAAATTTAAAATTTTAGAAATAAATAAATAAGCTACATTAAATAAAAAAAATTATATAATTATCATGTCAAATTATCTTTATTTGAGTTGCATAAACAATATGTAAATCAAAAGATATATACATACAGATTATTTTTAAAGGAGAATACTATGATATTTTTTTAATTAAAAAATACTTTCAAATTAAGTTTGTTTCTAACTAAAGTCAATAATTGATTTGTTAATTCAATGAATTAAAATAATAATACTCAACATTAGATAAAAATAAACACACTCTTAATTATTTTAAATATTTTGGTTTTTAACTTGAACTCGAAACTACTTATGGGAGAGTCTTAACCTCTTTTATACTCCATGACAAAGAGCGGGAAAGTTTTCATGTTTTAGGTAAGGCATTGGCCATTGGCATTGCGCGCAGCTCAAGGTGTGAAAGATAAGAATCTTGATATTTGAACACTGCAGTGTGACACACTCAACCCTACATTGGACACAGTGAAACAGACACATGGAACAACCATGTTTGGTTGCTTTTAAAACTCAAGACAGAGAATGATGAAAATCTGTACTTTTGGCAGCTTCTGATCTTATAAAGGTTAGTAAGAAAAATAAAAGACCTTATAAAGAAAACCAACTCTCTATAGAATATAGTTTTTTTAATGTCATATTTGGTAAAGAGAAGAGTAAAATATTATAAAGTATATATGTAGTGTATATAATATATAATCGGAGCCATTACTCTCCAAAACAAGTTTCAATTTCAAAACCGTTTTCCACTTCTCACTTCTCAATTGTCATCGCTGGTCACTGGCTAGTTACCAGAATAGTTTTTAGTAATTACATTCTCAATCGTGATTTTAGTTTTTAATGATTTTTATAGCATTTAAATTTCTTATTTTATAATTAAAAAAAATAAGATTCACTTATTATTAAAAAAAGTTAATCATGTCATCAATATAGATAAAACTTTTTTCTACTGCACTCATATAAAAGTGAGTGAGCTTTATTATATTTTATTAATTTATTTTTTATTATTAAAATGGAACTTACTTATTTTTATGTGAGTTTGACAAAAAAAAACTTTTTTTTAGCCAAAGTATGAAAAATTTTCTAATATTTTATTAGATAAAATATCCTGATAAATTTAATTATAACTTTAAGTATACTTTAGTTTATTTATATTAAAAGATTTAAATATATGTAACACCAGAGTAAATCTATTAAAATGTTAGCTCAGTAAAGTATAACCTAACATATATAAATCGTTAGAGATATCACTAATTTATATTAATAATCAAACGGTTGCCTGATGGAAAAACAAATTTTTCCAATTGAAAATATTTGGTTGTAAAGAAATATTCCAAAATTGTATCAAAAATATATATATATTCCAAAATGAAACATAACAGAAAAGATAAAAAGTACAACTAGGGCAATCAGATTCCCTGACTCTGGAAATAAAATAGTAAAATACAACAAATTAAATGCACTGCAATTGACATTGATGATAAATTAATAACCATAACTCGTAAGATTTGGATTGCGTGCACTGTTAGAAGGGGGAAAAGAGACAAGGACTTACAGAACTTATTTATTCTTTCTTTTCTGTAATTGGACCTTTACAAATTGCAAGTTGATAATATTATTTTATTTTAACATAAATGCATAATAACTGCACTTTATCCGAAAAAATATAATGCATTATAATATAGGGAAAATATTATTTTCTCCCTGATTTTGTAATTTTATCATTTAACCTTCCGGGATTTTAAACTTATCACTTAGACCCGCTGTGCTGAAATAAGTTATCATTTAATCTTTTATGGTTTCAAATTTTCACTTAGACCCTTTATGGTTACAAAATTTTTCACTTAAACATCTTGTGGTTTAAAAAATAAACATTTCAAAAGTATATTTAAAATAAATTTTCTCTCTTTTTTATTTTATATGCTCATGTAATGCATTTAGGATTTGAAAAATATTTTAAGTTAATTATTCTTAAATTAATTTATAAATTATCTTAATTTTTTTATTTTAAAAATATATTTGAAATTAAAAAATTATTTAAGATCAAATTAAAAAATATTATTTATAATAAATTAAATATATATTATCAAAATAAGGTATTTACTTTCTTTAAATAGATAAAGTAATAATATTTGATTTGAATTTATTTTCTTGATAAAAATAAGTGAATTTTTTTAGAATTTATTTTTATTTTTTAAACCTTAAATGCATTAGG